TATCTTTCTGTCGCTCGGCTCGCTAATATCCGTCCTGTGCACTGAGCACGCTCTCCTCCACATCACGAGTAGACACGCCCCTTACTGCTGATTGGCTATGGAAAAATGTCTCAATTTTGTGTATATAAATAAACTGCTTAATGTTTATACCTTGTCCATGTCTCCATGCTCACCCTGCCTTTGGTAATGAACCTGTATGCCCTTGCATAGGGCTGTTGTCTCCCGGTATATTCCGGGTGCGTGGTCAACTATAGGATTTGTGTCCGTTGTTATTGGTAGCTTCCCCTACCTGACCACTTTGCCACATGTGGAAACCGTGCAACATTCAGGAGCTGGTTTTCAACCCCTTCCCCGTGAATTTTATAAATACAATAGCTTCGATTCTAAAACCTATTATACAGTCAAAAGTTTACATGCAGCTTGCAGAATCTGCAAAATGTTAATTATTTCACCGAAATAAGAGGGATCATACAAAATTCATGTTATTGTTTATTTAGTACGGACCAGAATAAGATATTTCACACAAAAGATGTTCACATATAGTCCACAGGAGAAAATAGATGAATTTTTAAAAATTACCCCGTTCAAAAGTTTACATGATTCTTAATACTGTGTTAGCTGAATGATCCACAGCTGTTTTTGTTTTTTTGTTTTGTTTGTTTAGTGATAGTTGTTCATGAGTCCCTTGTTTGTCCTGAACAGTTAAACTGCCTGCTGTTCTTCAGACAGATGTCTCAACATGTATATATTTCTCTTCGTTTCAGCTGAAAAGGAAGACCAAAGGACCAAGACCAAAATTTGACCATCTTGATCATTTATGGAGAAGACCAAAAGCTGCAAAGTCAAACACCTTCCAATGGTACGTCTGTGTTGATCTGAGCACCTTGGCTGAACTGTACTGCAGTTACATTTGCACAGCATTTGATGTTTCTTACCCCCGGCTCTTAATGCGTTGTGTTTCCTTCTGGAGCATCAGCGAGCGTTTGAACCTTCTGTAAAGACTTGCAGTGTAAATGCAGCCCAAGTCAACTTTCAGTGACCCGGGCCATATACCCAAAAGGGAAGACGGAGGATTAAAGACTGTTGAAGGGACAGTTGAGCAAATGGTTTTCATTGAGATCTTCTCTTCAGATTAGAAAGTTTATTGTTTTGCTGCATGGCATCTGTTTTGTGAGTTATCATTTCAGGTCTTACACTGGTCATAGCTAATGTTCTCCAGTTACTAGAAATGACTGAGACTTTTCATCATGTGTAAGCGATTCTTCTTAAAGAGGCAAACAGACAACAGACACAGTTGTAATACCAAGTTCTTAGACATTGTTCAAATAAGTACAAGCTAGAAAGAGAAGGAATAAGGAATAAGAGAGAGTTTTTTTTTTTTTTATGATGAAGTCAAGTAGCTTCGAAAGAGATGGGTTTTCAGCTGTCGCTTGAAAATTGTCAGGGATTCAGCATTCCGGATAGGGGTGG